AGAGAGAGAGAGAGAGAGCGAGAGAACGACAGAGAGAGAGAGAGAGAGAGAGAGACAGAGAGCGTGAGAGAGAGGAGAGAGAGAAAGAGAGAGAGAGATGAAGAGAAAGAGAGAGACAGAGCGAGAGAGAGAGAGGGAGAGAGAGAGAGAGAGAGAGAGAGAGAGAGACGAGAGAGAGAGAGAGAGAGAGAGAAAGAGAGAGACAGATAAGACTAGAGAGAGAGAGAGAGAAAGAGAGAGAGAGAGACAGAGAGAGTAGAGAGAGAGAGAGAGAGAGACACAGAGAGAAGAGAGAGACAGAGAGACAGAGAGAAGAGAGAGAGAGAGAGAGAGAGAGAGAGAGTGAGAGAGAGAAGAGAGAGAGAGAGGCGGGAAGAGAGAGAGAGAGAGAGAGAGAGAGAGAGAAGGGAGAGAGAGAGAGGAGAGAGAGAGGAGAGAGAGAGCGAGAGAGAGAGAGAGAGACGAGAGGGAGAGAGAGAGAGAGAGAGAGAGAGAGAGAGAGAGAGAGAGAGAGAGAGAGAGAGAGAGAGAGAGGGGAGAGAGAGAGAGAGAGAGAGAGAGAGAGAGAGAGTCACCTTTGTCGGCTACGGGTTTGCGCATCTCTACCATCGTGATCTCCTTCGTGATCTCCTCCACCTCGTCGGCCGTCATCTCGCTAAACGTCCGCTGCCGCTCCTGCAGACGCGTTATCGGGTCCAGGAACTCTCGCTTACTCATAGCTCGCGGCCGCGCCGGCGGAGGTGGCGTCATCTCTCGGTCGTCAGCGGAAAATACCGGGTGCGCGTGATGGCCGCCTTCGCCGAGTTCGACGTAGGGGGCGCTGTTGTCGTCGTCGGCGAGGTCCGTCGTTGCGTCGTATGCGAGGTTCGTAACGCCGATCTGTGTTTGATAGACGGATCAAGGAGGATCAATGAAATGATGAGAAGAGAGGAGGAAAGGAGGAGAAGAATGTAGTAGAATATACGATCACGAGCCTGACACATGGAGTTTGCTGACAGCGCGGCGGACATGTTGAAACGTGTGACGGGATAGAGTGACACACTTGACACACACAGACATACACACGACACACGCGACCCATCATGCTGATTGTACGTAGTTACGCGTTGTATAGCGTGTGATGGCGCGACAGTCACATACGACACTCTCCTCTTCACCTCCCACCCCCTCCCCACATCCCCCACACCTCCATCTCTTCTTCTTCTCCTCCTTTCCTCCTCTCTTCTCATCATTTCATTGATCCTCCTTGATCCGTCTATCAAACACAGATCGGAGTTACAAACCTCGCATACGACGCAACGACGGACCTCGCCGACGACGACAACA